ATGGAAGTACTTTTATAACGTTATATATTTTTGCACATAAACTTACATACACAGAGAGTATTTTTTATATGTAGAATATACATACATACATACATACATACATACATACATACATACATACTTGCTTACTTACTTACTTATGTGCGTACATATCACATATGTATGTGTTACGCATGCATATATATATATGTATATATATGTATGTATGTATGTATGTATGTATGTATGTATGCAGGTATGTATGTAGGTAGGTAGGTAGGTAGGTAGGTAGGTAGGTGGGTAGGTAGGTAGGTAGGTAGGTAGGTAGGTATGTATGCATGTATGTATGTATTCATGTATGTACATATATGCATGTAAGTACATATGTATGTGTATGTATATATGTACATATACATATACATATACATATACATATACATATACATGTACATATACATATACATACAGGCGTGTAGGTATGTATACATATGTGTATATACATATATACACATAACTGTACATAACTATCTATAGATATATATGCAGTATATATATATATAGAGAGAGAGAGACAGAGAGAGAGAGTATATATGTATGTATGTATGTATGTATGTGTATATATATATATGTATATACATATATATATATATATTAAAATATGTTCATCACGACCCAGCATGCACAGTCGGCTTCCGTTGACAGTAGCACCAGCTGGGGCAAAGGCCAGACGGAGAGCCCTGCTGGAGGAGATGAAGGACGTGGCTTTGCAGCAGCGGCCTCTGTCCTGCCAAGTCGGCTTTCCGCCACCACTCGCAGATGGAGCAGGTGCTACCGCTACCACAGACCCTACTGAGGCAGGTCTTCTCCACCCCCGACCACCAGCCTGAAAGGTGTTTTGCGGATTGGTGTCAAATGGCCTAGTCGTGCGGCACCCTGCAAAAAGGCCGGGTCAACAGGCCCTGCAGCATGGCTAACCACCATCGTCATCGTCATCGTCATCATCGCAACATTGATGGCCCTTCATGTCTTCCTGCCTAGAGCAGTGCTGAGCAATCTTGCTTGGTTCCCTTCTGACCCCCCGGTGTTCGTCTCCGTCTGCTTCTTCTCTGATGAATCTCAAACTCCTCTTCAGCTCCTCTCGTCCCAAACTCCCAAGCTGCTTGAGGTCCTCTGGTCCGCAGAGAAACCGTGCGGAGGGAAGCCTCTGCCGAACCCGAGGGACCTTTGGTGACGGGGGGCCGGTAGGGTGAGGTTTGGGCTTGTTCTTGGAGAGCACCTTCTCGGCTTTGCTGGGGCTCGCCCGGGCGCAGTGGGGCGGGCATAGGACAGGGAATAGGGAGAGGAACTTCAAAAAGGGGGGCTGGAAACGCCCTATGGAGTCTGTTAGAACAAAGGCCTGAAAGAGACCATGCTGTGCCCAAACAAGCCCATGCACCAAGGAGCTTCGACCCCGGTACGGGGGAGGTCGGGATCCTCCAGCAACCATATCTCTGAGGGCCGACACACTTAGAGCCCTCAATGGCGGATACAGTGTACCACACGGATCCAGAGCTTGTAGAGGAATGTTGCCAACTTCCGTGATCCCTAATTATCATGCCTCCCACCCCCCACTTCTTCCCCCCGACGTGGCGCAAGGCAGTGCCCGAGCAGCGGGCTTCAGACTCGAAGAGGCCCAGAGGCTGAGACCGCCATGCCTGGGTCGCTTACTCGCCGTGAAGCCGTGTCTTAAAGACATCGAATACAGCCACGAGTAGAACTGAGGATGACCATGACGAGAAGAGGAACAGTAACAATAGCCAGAGTCATCACGTTCCGATCGCCGTCACTCTCATTAACATGATTCGATTATCATCACCGTCCTGCCAGAAAGAGCCATGGACCATTGTGTCAGGAAAAGTGCACCTACAGTAGGATTCCATAACATCCCCAACTGAACATGGGAGTTTCAGACCACAGGGGACCAAATGTAGACAACAGACACCCTTCTGAAACCCGCCATTTCAAATCGTGCTTGATCCACGCTGCGTCCAACATCCTCCGACATACCTGCCCCAAACTCTAGATAAACACTCACATAAACTCCACACACCCCGAAACCCGAAACCCAGACCCATAAGTCACCTCGAACATCCGTAATTCCGGGATCCCAAAATGAACCCAACAAGTCCTGAGCCACAGACCTGAAGCGACTTTAGCGACGTGAGGTTGCATGCTCCCACATCAGCCGTGTTTTGGCTCTCATGGCAAAGCAGGCGCATGCTAAGAGGTGAACAGGTTGAGATATGTAAACCCTCAATTGCCGGATCCACAAAACAAGTTACTCCCAACGACGTGTCAGGGTGGCAAAGGTGCCAAACCAGCTGGCAATCCATGGACCACGCTCTGGTTCTGGGGAATCTGAAAGCATGGGTCCTCCGAGTGAGTACTGGGTCCAGAATTCTTGACAGGCCGGTGTGCTTTGCACCTGTATACGCCTGAGCCGGAAAAAGGCACGCCGGCCCTGCTCAATGTCTGTGTTCTCCCTACCTGTTACAGAAACTTAACTCAGGTTGCCTGCAAACACACGTAGCATGATTACTGTTTGGTATCTAACAGTGGTGTGGAAACTTAAACTACATAGCAACAACCGGGGACTGCCTTGCTATCATGGCAAGCTCCTTTTCCGATGTGGAGCCGCGCTCTAAACTCGTGCTCTTCTGAACACCGCTCAGTACTACCCAGTCGCTCAACCGGAAGATGTGTCATGCAGGGTAAGCTTCGACTGCACAGGCAAGAGGCCAGCGCAGCTTCGCCACTCTCAAGATGAAACTGCAGCTTATGCTGAGGTTGCTACAGATATTATATCAGCACACAGACTTTACACCTGGCTTGAAGCACGCTGATCGTTCGAAAACAACTGCTACGCGATTTTGCTCTAGCTCCAAGAATGCAAACCGACCAACCGTACCAGGACCGGTTGACATCCAGAATCAAGACGAGAAACCAGCATAAGACGGTTTGCGACACTTGATGGCACTTGGTGGCATCCACTGCCATGTTGGCGCGGCAGCCTTGCTGCACTGCTTCCTGCCATAACGTGGCACAACACGGTGGGACCTCCCTTCCTGCGTCTCATCCCTGGCTCTCTTCCACGAGGTGGTTGACGATAGCCTTGCCAAACGAAGCTCAAGAGCTGCTCCTGAACTTATGCATCTAGGGCCAAAGCTTGCAAGCAAAAGGCTAACTGACTAACCTGGGCAAGCCCGAGTGGAGCCAATAGCAGCCAAAATGCCGACACATTCGGGAAGTCGAAGACCAAAGATGGCGACAGGGTCATCTGGAACTCCTTGGACACCTTGTCAGCGCTGCTTTTCTTGTTGTTATTATTTTGTTTATTCTGTTTTGGCGCTGCTGATACTTGTTGCCGTGTTCAATGGCTGTTGCGCATTCACAGCTGCGCAGCGGCTGCTGTCGTCGCAGTTCTTCTGACATCTATGGAAACATGCATGATCTTGATCGCTACCACACATTTGAGTCTGATTGTGACGGGGCTCAGAGCAACGATTGCAGAGGTGATGGTGGTGCTAATGACGATGATGAGGGTAAAAAGGAGGATGTGGATGTGGATGAGGATGATGAAGGTGAAGAAGAAGATGATGATGATGATGATGACGATGGTGGTGATGATGATGATGATCACGACGATGGTGATGATGATGATGATGGTGATGATGACGATGGTGACGGTGATGATGATCATCATCGTCATGATGATGATGATAAAGACGATGATGGCGATGATGTTGGTAATTATGGTGATGATGGTGAAGCAGAATGCCAATGACGATGTGGCGATGACGGCGAGTGCGATGATGATGGCGTCGACAGTTGTGATGAAAAGGATGAAGATGCAGACGGGGAATCTAGCTGAAGGTGCAAAAAAGTGCGCAGGAGGGGGCGAGCGAAAGCGATGATGATGATGATGATGACAATCTTGATGCTGGCTGTGATGGTGACGGTGATGGTGATGGTGATGGTGATGGTGATGGTGATGGTGATGATGATGATGATGACGATAACCGCTGCTGTTAGTGGGCTACTCCTACTTCCTTCTCCTGCTGGTCAACAGGAACGCTTTAAGGACTGCGGGTACAGCAGCGGCTAGTAGCAGCGACCTGCAGCATCTTTGGAAGAAGCAAGAGTCGTGTTGCGTTGTTGGTCGGTATAAGCACGTTCACACAAGGATGCTGCCTCCGTGACGAGCTGGACGGACGACAGACCTCAACAAAACTACGTGTCGAAGGTGTGGAACGGCCAAGCTGCCGCGAATGCTTCGGGTCTGGGGTCTGGGCTGTCCATACCAGCTTCCATAAGCGGACTGTCGGCCTGCGCATCTGCGTAGTCCAGACAGCGCGACACACTTATCTTTTCAAAGGCTTCACCATGAGTAGCAGCCACTAAACCTGCATGAATCTTGAGGTGCAGACGGTAATTTCGTCGTCTGCGGCAATCACATCCTTGACCTCGGGCATCGCGCTGACACCAACATACCGGACGGATTTCACGTGGCATCCGCCACGAGTCCCGTGCGATGCTCATCAGCCGCTTCGTTGCCAGCGCAGGGTCCAAGCCTACGCAGGGTCAAGCGCGCTCTGAATCTACTCGTGACGGCAGCTTCGACTCGCCCTTTTCCAGTAGTAGTATTGGTAATGGTACTGGTAGTAGTAATTAGTAGTAGTAGTAGTAGTAGTAGTAGTAGGAGGAGGAGGAGGAGGTGGAGGAGGTGGAGGAGGAGAAGGAGTAGCAGTACTAGTAGCAGAAGTGGGGTAGTAGTAGTAGTAGTAGTTGTTGTTGTTGTCTACGTAGTTGTTCTTGTATGTATGCAGCATGCAAAAAATGCCGTCCTTATATATGCACATAGATCCGCGGGCTTGGTACAGAGATATTGGTACAGTGTACAGTCCACACCCTGGCCTTGATTCCTGAACCAACACCTACACTGACACCTTCAGACACCTTTAACCACCGTCTGATTATGGCACTGCGGTGCTGCGCACCCTTTGGCTGCTCTGGTGCCACGGCCGAAGCCGCAGGGGCTGCACCTGGCCGAGAGACTAAGGAACATGCCTCTCTGCATTTGTGACCAGTAGAACAGCTATACATATACATACATACATACATACATACATACGTACATACATACATACATACATACATAAGTAAATACATACATACATACATACATACATACATACATGGATATGTATATGCATATATATACACACATATATATGTACATATATATATATGCATATACATACAAAAAATATCAAATAATGATAATAAAAAATAATAGTACTAATACTAATAATAATTTACTACAAATATATATATATATACATACTGTATACTGTATACTGTATACTACTCGATGACTGCTCTGAGAACTCCGATCACAGTACTTTGCGGCCGCTATCACTGTTATAGGTAACGGTTCATCACTGTTTTGAGGATGCATTGGTTTGATGAGGCTCGATTTCGCCACGACTCCCAGGCCGGACGGTGGCGTGAATGTGATTTCGGGCCAGCCCTAAACGCCCGGAGCTCGAAGGCCCTAGAAATTGAGAGTATGCCTTTAATACTTTTCATGTCAAACAAGGGAACCTTCATACGAGATCCTGAAAGGCTTTAAAACTGCTTGCATGAGGCCAACTTGTAAGCTCTTCCCTCCATACAGCAAAACGCAAACCCCCTCCCACTGAAAGCCCTCTTTTTTCTGAGGCTAAAGCCTAAGGCCTAAAATCCTTTGCCCTAGATCCCTAGATCCCCTGACCCATAGAACCCTAAACCCTAAATCCCCTAACCTATAGAACCCTGACCCCTAAACCCTAAATCCCCTAACCCATAGAACCCTGAACCGTCTTGGGGAGAAGTCTACGTAGCACTTGCCTGCAGCAGGTGCAGCCTGGCCAGGCCTCAGACCGCCCCCGTGAAAGGCTTTGGGGTGTTGGGGTCTTTTTTTGTTTTTAATTTTTTTTTGGGGGGGGGGAGGGGGGGGAAGGGCGGGGGGTTAGGGTTTAGGGTTTAGGGTTTGGGGTTTTGGGGTCCAGGGTCCAGGGTTTAGGGTCTAGGGTTGGGTGTGAACTTCAGGCCAACGCACTGGCGTGAATGATCAGGAATATTTCTCCTCCCTTCGTGAAGCATGATACAGTTCTCTGCACTCTTCCTGCTGCTCGCTAGCGGTTGCCATCGGTGGCGGGTGCAAGGAACAAGCCCTTCTTAGCCGAGTTAACAGAATGAGATTCCCGTATGGGAGAGTCTCCGTATACCGCACCGCCTCACGCCTTCGCGATCTAAGCACCGCACTCTGCCGCGGCAATCATCTGCTGGACCGGTGGCGCGACCACCTCCTTGCCTTGGAACAAAGAGGACATCAACTCGCTCGATTGAACCGCAGAGTCCGGGGGGGGGGGTGGGGAAGTCCGGCTAGGGGATGTGAGGGCAATCAAGATGCCGCCCGCATGGCAAATGATTGGACAAATGTTGACATCTACGGGGCCAGGTGGTGGCATTTGGGGCTACCTCGCAGTACACACACAAGCTCTTCACCTTTCAGCGCCGAGCTCTTCTTCTCGGCCTTCTCGATTCTCTCGAGGCACGACTTCGATTGCGATTCCGCCTGAAAGAGACAGCTGATGGCAATGGCATCTGCACAACTGCACAACTCCATTTCACCAGCATGCGCTGAATGCACTGTCGGCGGAAGCATGGAAGGCCGGAGAGCTTCCTACACTCCAAGCTCTGGCTCCGGCCTGGCGGTCGTGCAAGGCGTTCGCTTGCTTCATGGCTTGATCTGCAACTTCTTTGGCCTCACGGCACTCGAACGGTACAGGAGTGGCGGATATCGGGGCCAGCCTTCGCATTTGAGCTCTCTTGCCCTGTTCGCGGAGCTAACATTTCCCAGACACAATCAAACATACACATGTTTTTAATATGTGTGTCTATTTATACATACATTCATACTTTGTTGTAGCTTGCCAGCTCGGAATCATCAGGCGGAGCCTCCTCGAAGTGCTTGAGGCCTCGCGAGCAGTCATGCAAGACCGCGGAAGCAAAAAAAATGTTCAGACTAGGCCCTAAACCCTAAACCCTAAACCCTGAACCCTAAACCCTGCACCCTAAACCCTAAACCCTGAACCCTAAACTTCGTTACCAACGAATTCGCACGGCACTTCGGAAACCTATGTCGCTGCACGCAAGTGCGATCATCCCCCCCCCCCCGATCACAGAAGCACATAGCAATGCTCTTCGTACTGTACCTCTTTGTCCTCTTCGATTTGCTTACTTGGCTCTAAGTTCCCATCTTTAACCGCATTTAGGGCCTGCCAGGCAATCTGCCGCCAGGATCTTGCACTGCACCATGGCACCTGGGATTCCGCGCTCTTGACGAAAATGCTCATGAAATCTCATCATTCTATAGAGTCTATTCACATGCAGGTGTCTGCGACATACCTCTGTACGCATGACTGTCTACATGCGCGTGCGGAACTACCTACTTAGATCTCGAAGGGATGGAGGCATGTATGTATTCATACATGCATATAATATACAAGCGAGTGTCAAGTTACGTTACTGCTCAGACTGTATGACGGCGAGTGGGATGGAGGTTGGCTGATGTTCTCTTCACTCTGTTGCTCGCTGGCATCTATATCCATATCGAAAATTTTCCTCCCATGCGTGGCATTCATTCTGAGCCTTACTGGAGTTTGAGTCGCGGTGATGCTTACCACACTCCGGCTGAGCTAGGGCATCTGCTACCCGCCCCAGCACTTTCGAAGCACTTCTCTGCGTCGAGAACCACCTGGAGCCACTTCCGGAACGATTGCAGAAGCGATCTGATCAAGGCAGACCCACCATTGCTATTGCAACATCGATACTATTGTAGGTATGATGGTGACGACCAATGGTATCCTTATCCCACTCTCCAACAAGACCAGACTGGGCGTGACATGCTACGCAAAGGCCCTGAGGGTCTGGAGTATCCGATAATATCATCCGAGCAATGCTATAAAAACATACCAGACAATAATACCATCATGGTTGTTAGCAGTACGACAACAAGTTTCAATCATCTGGGGCCGAGGGCCGAGCGACATCCCTACCAAAAAAAATGGTGCATAACCATAACCCGAAAACTGACGGCCAACCCTGATTTTTTTACAAGTCTGATCCCTCCGTATTCTCAAGCTGCAATAACCTAAACCCGCAACATCACCTGAGCCTGCAATGTGGCAGTGGTGTTCTTGTTTTGTTTGTTGCAAGAAAGTTGCAGCAGGTTAGGGCCTTAAAAAGAACACACCATAAATGACCTCTCCTAAGTATAACAACCCTTCATACCATGAACGGCACGACAACATCAAACCCTTCGAAAGCCGGCGAAGCACCTAATTTTTCGGTTGAACTGCTCTGAACCCTAAACTCCCTGCACTTTAAACCTTAAAGAGCCTAAAACCCCCCAAACCCCTCCCCCCCCTCTGAAACTGCACAACGTCAGCTCCTGGCCCGGAGGGACTCCTCGAGCCGGCCACGGAAGCCCAGAACCTGTCAGGGCGTTGGAGTCCGGGGCGTATCATCAACTGCCCGAAACTCTTCTGTCTGTGCGTGAGGAGAGGAGACGTATTAGATATGCGCATGTATGTAGGTATGTAGGTACGTATGTATATATGTATGTATGTATGTATTTATGTGTGTATTTATGTGTAAGTATACACATATACATACATACATATATATATATATAGAGAGAGAGAGAGAGAGAGAGAGAGAGAGACAGACATGTATGTGTACATATTCTGGAGTTGGGGGCCCGGGCTTGAGGGCTGAAGAGCTTAGGAACCGCCGAACTCGGCAAAAGCCCGGCGCCTGAGCTCGCCAAAACAGCGCTCCGGCTCCTCGGTGCTCATCTTATCTTGGAGCTTCAGGTTTAGGGTTTAGGGTTTAGGGAAATATGCGACACCATAGTTACAAGTATCGACATTTTGGAGCTTCCGCAAAAACACAGAGGCCGAATGATATTACTTAACGCCGGAATCCTATTTCATATGCCTAACAGCAACTATCGGTATCATTATGGCTGTCACTACTGCTACTGCGATTACAATGCTTACTGATATTACTGAACAGCGACGATGATGACTATGTTTTCTGCAATTAGTATTGTATCAAATCACTACTGCTATGCTTGTCACCAGCCGTATTCTTATTCTGAGTATCAATCTTCATCCTAGTGTTCTGACCTGCACTCAGGTCCCGGCGCAGCTGCTTGCTGCCTAAATGGCGGCCTCAGGGGGTGAGTTACTTAGGGCATACCTGCCCATTTAGGTGTGTGTATGGCACCGCACATCGAGCCCCCCACAACAAAACCCCCTTGTCCACTCAGTTTTCCCAACCACTTTCCCCAACAATACACCCTTCCCAAATATTTTCTCAACGAGCATGCCGTTCCACTACTTTTAGATCTCTTCTTCGCATTTTCAACCAACCAACCACTGGCCCCCAAGCGTAAGGACCCATCTATTTTGGGCTATGGCACTTGGATACATACGAGCATCGGGAATAAGATCTTTTCCTAAGATTGTGTGGAAACTTGTTGGGGTGGGTGGTGCCAATTGCCGAAAATGGGCGAGGTCTCCTCTAACTGAGTTTCAGTGCCTTCCATGCTGCTACTCCGAAAGGCGTCTGTTGCTGCTGCCATTTTCGATCTTACGCTCCACTGTACATCCATCAGGATCAGGCAGGCGGTGATGGCGTCGTTTGCAGCACGCATAGCCTCACGTGGCTGAACTCTGGCTCAAACTATCCAGCACTCGCCCGTAGAAAGATTGCAGACCTTCCCTCCTCAGACGCGATGGCCTTCTCTGCAGAAGACCGGTACGACGGAGAGGCCAGGGCCTGTTGGCGAATCACTCGCTCAGCTGCCGCTGCTTCGAGCTCGTTCGGAGGGTGCCTCTTTGGTCTCGCCCTCGGCTTCAGCGCTCATCTTCTTCAAGCACGCCTGTGACAGACGGGTGGTGCGTTCGTGGAACGGCGATCTACAAAGAACTCCGGAGAGTTTTCACCAAAAAACTTCTTGGAGCTCATCCACTCAAATGCTCTACTCAGCGCTTGGATCTGGTTCTTTGCCTAATTCGAAACTCGGCTGCGCTGGGTGGTGCAGAACCCGGGTAACTCTGGCGACTGCGAAGGCATACATAGTTCGAGCCTCCTGTCGCAACCGAAATCACAAGCATCTTCTTCAAAATAAGAACAGCAAGATACAGCAACAGAAGGAGGCTACTCCTCAAAAACGTCCTGACCCTCTCAGCCTGTGCCAGGTGCACGCAGGCCACGGACCTCAAGGCCAGCGGGGGTATTATGCTGTACTTACAGCAGCGGAGAGTATTACGCAGCACTTATCCGGACCCGCACAGTACGTGGGGTTCATGTACTTACAGTAACGGATAGTATTACACAGTACTTATTCAGACCCCTACAGTATGTGGGATTCATGTCGGGGTACCTTATCTAGGGTTTGGTTGATATGAGAACAGCAAACCGAGCTGGTGGAGGGATCATGTATAGTCTCGTGCTAACTTCGGTGTACCTTGTGTCCTTACAGTCTTACAGTAGTTATCCTACTACTCACGGTATTGTGGTATGTAGAAGGGTCGAGATCCGCGCTTTCTGAAACTCCTGTCTCTCCATGAAGACACGAGCAGATGGGGCCGAGTTGCACAAAGCGGCTAGGCCGATGCCCTATCCCCTCTCCACCGGGGGGTTGGCTTCCGGCTTGACAGCTGGTGCCTTCTACACAGAGATTTCGTCGGCTTGCAAAGTTAGTCTTGATGCTTGGCAGCATGCAAGACTTCGATTCAGAAAAAAAATCCCGCTTTTGCTTCAAGCCAAGAGGCTCGGCAGCCTTGTCGCCGACCTCCTGGAAAATCTTCTGGGCCTGGCCGGAGAAATTTGCTACGGCTACTCTACTGCTGCTGCTGCTGCTGCTGCTGCTGCTGCTGCTAGTGCTACTGCTACTGCCGCTACTGTTACTGCTACTGCTACTGCTGCTGCTGCTGCTGCTGCTGCTGCTACTGCTGCTACTGTTACTGCTACTGCTGCTGCTGCTGCTGCTGCTGCTACTGCTAATCTCACACCGCAACCCGAAACCCTGCAGAGCCCTAGACTTGACTTGACCTCATCCCCTCCGCAGTTGCAAAGCGTGAGTCAGCACGCCTCCATACCATGTCTTTCGGCTGCGTCATACTCCTCAGCTGTCAGGCTCATGCAAGAATGATCGCAAGGAAGAGCCCAGGCCAGAGAGGTCTAAGTTTGGAGCGGAGCTAGCCAGCAGGATCCTCGCCTCGTCTCTCAGGCGAGCGCACAACTCTCAAGGATATGAAGGATATGGCGTTGGCTGTGGCAGGGTGCATGCATGGCTTCTCGAGATGTGCAGGACCGGAGGGTCCCTTGCAAGACTGAGCTCTGGCTCAGAGCCGCTGATCAACAACGACCAATGACAGTTCATCAGAAAACAAACAGAGCAGGAGAAGCATCAGCAGTCGTAATCACGCGATGCCTACAGCAGCAGTAGCAACAGTGAGGAAGTGGCAGTAGTCGCGAAAGCAGGCAGTATCAGTAGGTGTACCAGCTGTGGCAAGTGGCAATCGGAAGCGATCATATCGTGATAATGAGTGTCAGGCCAGCTGCAGGACCGCGTCGCCCTCCTCCTGTCGGGGGCCCCGACAATCCAGGGGAGCTATGGCCGCTAGCGCCAAACCCCCGGTCCTACTTCAGGAGCACAGGTTCTTAC